GCCACGTTTGCCGTATCCAAAGACAGTAAGGGCTGATGGTAGGGGGCGCTCACCGATCGTTCATACGGAACGCACTCGTTCCGTTGTGCCTTAAGAACTCTGGAGCCCAACCAGCAGCCGCACAGCGGCGCATGATATAGGCAGAATGTCATTACCGCCAAAGGCAAGGGAGCCTCGGATGTTCCACACTTTGGGGTTGGGTATGACTGGCTGACGACGGAAATGGCCATTCCAGTCTTCCTTGTCTTTGTCGGTAATGCCATTCTGCCTATATCATGCGCCGCTGTGTGGCTGCTGGTTGGGCTCGAGAGAGAGCCCCTAAGGTACAACGGAACGAGTGAGTTCCGTATGAACGATCGGTGAGCGCCCCCTACCATTGTATATTCCCGATCGAAACCGACAGGGCAACGGGCTCGTGGCCCAGTGGTTAGAGGCGTGGACTTCTAACTGACAGGTCCACACTTCGGGCTTGGGTATGGCTGGCTGACGAGGGCTAACAAGTCAGAAATGGCCATTCCAGTCGCCCTTGTTTTTGTCGGTAATGCCATTCTGCCTAAGTAAGAACTGAGTTAGTGAATTCCGGTGTACTTAAAGTCTTTGGCTGGTTGCGGTCCACCGTCCTCGGGGAATTTGCTGTCTCGGAAACAGGCCAGCTTCATGAGTTCTATTAGTTGAGGTCAGGACTACCCGACAGTTTGACTGTCGTTGCCGACAAAGTCCACCGTGTGCTCCACAGCAGAATGAGAGCAGGCACGGTGACCTGCGCATAAGTTAGTTTATAATGAGAGTAGACTTGTGCTGTATCTACCACACTCCCTCCTCCTCATCTTCCCTCACCTGAGCCCGGTGTCAAGACATAGTCAAGAAGACCGGAAACGGGGAGGGCATAGGTGGATGGCACGGTCGAGCCCGCACCCTGGCGTTCCACTCCACATCCCCTGCTCCACACAGCAAATGACCAGGTTTGTTAACCAACAACAGAAGTGGGGCTTGCGCGGCCTTAGCCGCTCCTAGGCGTGCTGTCACATCTGGCTCGGATCCCACGGGATGGAAGTACCATAAAGGCCACATTAAAAAGGAGCCCACAGTTGTAGTGGAGGATGCCTTACCTAAGTGACCCATCTCAAAATGCTGAAATGCGTTTCCAGTTAACAAGGATCGTCTAGGTAGGACTATGATATTGATAAGCATACAGCCTAATTCCGCGAATTTTCAGTCAAACCAACGTGCCGGCCATTGCATACACTTCTTGTAAACCGCCCGCAAAAAACCACACTGTGTAAAATATGCCTACTCACCGCCTTGTTTAATTTCCGAGGGATTTAAGGCGTTAACTTGAAATAAATCCTTCAGAACAAAGCTTCGAGCTGAAATCCACCAGCCACTGCGGAATAACCATGTAATATCACCAAACTCGCAACAGGCACTTAGTAGCATACAAGTACTAGGTGGTCTACCGTACTGGAAGCACAGGTACTAGCTAAAAACTCGTTGTCTTAGGACGCACTTCACGTTTTACGGAACAATCTACGAGAAAGTGGAGGAAACGCCAATAAGTTCGTCGACTTCCGGATTCACTGCCGAGGCGATCCTACAGCGGTTAGAGTCGTTGGTCTTCCAACACCACATATGGAAAGATTCGGCTCCGTATGTGGATGATACCTTCGTTGTCATCGAACGAAATCGGGTGCTGACGTTCAAAGAACGTCTCGACTTCGTGTTCCCGGACACACAATTTACGATGGAGGGAGAAGAAAACAACCAGTTGGCCTCTTCCTACGTTCACGTCTGCCGCAAAGATCGTGATGGCCTTAAGCCACAAATAAGACGTAAGTGCTCAACTTCAACAGCAACCACCCAATCAACCATAAGCGCAGCTGCGTAAGAGTGCTATATCGGAGTTCTTGGACGCACTGTAACGAATCGGAGGATAAGGTTGCCAAATTTCAATATCTTTGGCGGGTGTTCAGAGAAAATGGCTACCCCCGCGACTTCGTCAACCAGTGCATGAGCAAACCAGGCAAGCGACAAAATCGCTGATTCCAAATTTGGCGAGCGATTCCGTACGTCAAGAACGTCTCAGAGGTCGTCACCCGCCTTGGAGTTGGAGTCGCACACAGACCGGAGGCCACCATAAGGCGTCAGGTGATGAGACCAAAAGACTCAATGCCACGGCAAAAAACACCTGGAGTCGTTTACCGGATCCGGTGCAGTTGCGGACAAAGCAACTGCGTCGGAGAAAGTGGAGGACTGCTCCGGACTCGAATCACCGAACACGCGGCAGCAGCGCGGAGAAATGACGCCAACCCTCAAGTCGCTGCCCATTCAACAGGACCTGGCCACACATTCAAGTTCGATGAGGCCGAAACTCTCGCGAGAGGGGAAAATCGAGTGGGCCGCAAGTTGCTCGAGTTATGGTTTACGGGACCGCAGTGTCTTAGCAAGCGCAATGACCTCCGTACTCCATATTCGGTGCTGAGACCTTGCCTACTCAGAGTAATTAGCCAGTCGGGCAGCGCTCAGGCCGGTGGACCAGGTGGCCGAGCAATCATCTCGCCAACATCAAACACAAGTGATAAAATTTCAACATTTAACACCTGAGATGCCGACAATCAAGCAGTTAGCGCACCAGAGGAAAACCATTCTCGATGAATGGGGAGCCGTTAATTGCCATAAGTATGCGGTGGTATGGCGACTGCATCCAATAATTGCCGTAACTCTCTGTGTATGAGTTACCCTTATATGCTACTGTCTCTGGTGATGGTTTCGAGCATAAATCCAAAACGTCCGGCAAATAAAGTTCTTGTTCTCGGGATTGCGTCTATGTGTTCTCCCCCACTTCATGGAATTCGCATTTTCGCTTGTATTGACATTACCCGTGCCGCTACTAAGATAAGCCATTTAGTATTAAGTGACTACTTAATTTGGATAATATTTTCCGCTTATTTTCAATGTCGTGAGAGATTGAAATATATGTCATAGGGACCACATTCAAGAATGTCGTTTCTGGTACGCATTTTGCGGCAAACTACATCTTCCTAAAATAAGGTACTCGAAGAAAATGCATCCCTCGATTTTAGAAAGTTTTCCAATTCCTGAATAATTTTAACCCGACCTATTGTTGCATTTACGTTCGCCGTCTACAAACTACAAACTTTATACCAACCATGTGAGAAAACTCATATATTCGACTCTGCCCTTAAGGAGACACTGTATATTGCTTATACAATTTTGCAATGGCTCTAGTTTGCATTGCGAGCTTCAGAGGAATCAATAGTAAACGAACATATACGATATTGTTTGGGAGGGCATTGGGCATTACTGTGGTATACGTACTTTTGAAACAGCTAGAGAAAGACCTAGAAGCCAACTCTGCCATTTTGATTATTCAATGGTCTGTTCGACTGCCGAATAATCTGACTCTTCTGTGTTGGCACGAGGTCATCTTCAGAGCAGCCAGCATTTATAGCAGTCTAGGTCAGTTATGCGGCCTCGAACGGCGGCGTTTCTGGACAGGGGACTACGTGGCGTGGGTGCAAGTCTAGACGTGCATGCATAGATGCGGCGTCTGGAGCCCCCACATCTGGTGATGTTTACCAAGTCCTACCGAGAATGGTGGGTGTGTTTGTTTGTGCGTTTGTGTGTTTATCGGATAAATCAAAGGGTCTGTAAGCGTGTGCTATGCCAGTATCAGCAAACCATGGCCTTCGCAGCCTGGTAACCGCTGGCAGTTCCGCGACATCTGATTCCCTGCCAGTAGATGCGCTTGCGCTCCCGCTAGGTATGCAGGTAGTGGGCATGGCTGCCCAGTCATCCTCGTCGTCCTTCTGACCCCTGTTGGGGTGTTACTGTTGGCGAAGGACACTGGTCATTTGTTGCGTGGACTTGGGGTGGGGGGGGCACGCCTAGCCGCGGCCACGGCCGTGCCAGCCACCTGAGCCCCCCCCCCCCACCTCCGGTGTTCTTGACTCTGTTTTGACGCAGGGTCCAGGTGGGGCGTGGAGAGGAGAGAGTGCGGTTGATGCTGCGCAAGTCGGTAACAATCGGGAAAGGGCACCCAAATATCCGTTGCCCAGAAAGAATACTTGCTATAGCTATTTGAGCAGGTTATGGCCCTGCATATTTGTTGTTTCATCCGACCTCAAATTTATCTGATCTGCAGTGCACATGTTGCCTCACTTAGATTATCATAGTCTCCAACAGTTGAGATGCGACCGCCGCAGACCAAGCCGCGGTTAATCAACCTTGACCTGGGCTTACACGGCTGAAGAGTGACAGCAGTAGTGAAATTGCGGCCAAATCTATCCTTGCATACCTTAGGGGAGTTGAGAAACGATCGCTGTATACCGACCTTCCTTCGCATATGCATGCTTAGGTCACGATCGAGGACATTAGTCCGTTTGCGGCTTACTTTAGACCAGGATAAGTTAGGAAAGTTGGGGAATGATCGCTTTAGACCCGTCCTATGTTTACCAACCTTGACATTAACTTCCACAGCTGAAGAGCGAGCGCAGTAGCTGATATGCGGCCTATTCTACGGTAGCATACGTTCAAACACGATACGATTGCTGTGGACCGGCCCTTTGGCTTATCCATTATGACCACTTCTTCCTTAGGTGAGGAATGACCGCAGCTGTAGGTATGCGGCTCAATCTAAGGCACCATACCCTTTGGACAGTTGCAAAACGATCGCCATAGACCCACCTTACGCTAAACAACCTTAACACAAGCTTCCACTGCTGACAAGCGACCGCAGTAGTCCCTATGCGGAGTATTCTATAGTAGCTTACCTAGGGACAATTGCAATACGATCGCCGTTGGCCGGACACTTGGATTATCAGTTTTTACCATTAATTCCAGAGTTCAAGGGGCTACCGCAGTCACCAATGTGCGGCTCAGTCAATGGCTGCATATCTTAGGACAGTTGCGATAAGATCGCTGCCTTGGCCGGCAGTATTTCTTTGGGTGCCCTCTCCCGATTGATACCCGCAAGTCTACTATCATTGTAAACTGTCACCATCACCATCATCATCATCATCATCATCATCATCATCATCATCATCATCATCATCATCATCATCATCATCATCATCATCATCATCATCATCATCATCATCATCATCATCATCATCATCATCATCATCATCATCATCATCATCATCATCATCATCATCATCGTCATCATCATCATCATCATCATCATCATCATCATCATCATCATCATCATCACTAGTGGGTCTCCAGCGATTAATGTGCAGCGGCTCAGTGTCGGCAAAACACTGTGCCTGAGACATTAGATAGCACCAGATGCAACACACACACTCTCCCTCTCTCTCTCACACACAAACACACATATATATGTTGCACGTAAAGAGGAAAGGATAGGAACCGGCGAGCGGTTTCCACAGTCATGTTTGTTTTCATGTCCTATCCAGAATTCGGTCACGGCCTCAAGTAGGCAGGTTCCGTGCGGGTTTCTTTTCACATTCGTATCCTTTGACCATCCTTGACAAATAAGCCGTTTCGAGGGACGATTGAGTAGACTAGTAGCGCCAAGGGCCTTTGGAACTGCTTTCAACCTTTGGTTGCACAGTATCATACTCAACCTAGTCGATACAACCATATCCACTATACTATATTGCGTTCTTCTAGATTCCACAGATGATCTGGACGTCCTATGATCAAAGACTTTTGCCTTTCCCAGTTTTTTGTTATCCAGCAAATGTCTGGCTGAAAAAAAGCCAAACCGCTGTCATTTGTTCAGTTGGATACTTCACATCTGATCATCGGCCATTTGTCTCTCAGTAAGATACACTTCGTTGAAGAAGGAGAAGGCTGCCGGCGTATGTCGGCTGGTTGTCTACGAGCAGCAAAACCCGACACCAAACTTGCCGGCTTTGCTTCTCAGGCAAGTGTGAAATTTCAATCGACTGTCAAGCGACTCGTCAGAACTGAAGGAGGAGAATAGAGTTTAAAAAAAGTGGTTAGAGCTGACTTATGTGGCTCCCTAAGTAGGACATGGGAATAGGTATGCCCTGCTCAAGTTATAAAGGTGGACCGTATAAGTCAGCCCTACCAAAAATGCTTAAACACCCAGTGTCTAACATTCCCCTCGGATGTTCATGAATGCGTCCAGACGCCCTCAGCGTGTTCAGGTAGACTTGAGATCAAACTAAATGCGTCTCTGCGTTGTAGAAAGACTGACGAAGGGTCGTTTTCGGAAAGTAGTGAGCACCAAAACTGTCCACTTTGTAGAAAACCAACATTTGCTTTTTCTCATATAATCCCGAAACATATTACAGCCTAAATATGCTTCCAACTCATATAAAGATTTACTAGGTGTTTGACTTTCTATACTCGTTCATTGGTGCCCTTCTACCCTCAAGGACCGTTTTTGCTGCAAGGCTTATCTTTTAGTCGGAAAATTCAACCAGTATGCTTGGGGACTCAACATACGTTAACAACGTACTTTCGGAAACTGACAGTTTTCCCAAACTGTTTATCAAGCGCCTCTTTGCGACTGCGAACATGCTCTGCACTTTCGCCTGGAGCGGCCGCCCTCTTGTCCGTCAGTTATAGAAAGCTTTCAACTAATAACGTCCACAGATTTTGGCTACTCTACCAATCACTGACCAGTAGCAGCGCACTGGGCGAACCATTCATGCCTGCACGAGCTTGCTAGGCCCCTCGAATAGCCCCATCGACCTTCGCCTTCCCCTCCAAAGCCACCTCACGCGTACCGCCCATGCCTGTCCACGCGCCTTGGCTAGGGGCGTGATGTCGATCGATAGATTTCCCCCTGTTGATTGGCTCCAGGTGAGCATTACTCACTAGCTTACATCGCCCATTTCTCGCTTAGTCACGGGCAACTGCTGTTGTTGTTGTTGCACCCTTTTATTGTCTGAATTTTCCTCCTGGTTTGAGGAACATTATACACTCCACGAACTCACCTGACTACAACTTATATCACCGCCTCGATAGAGAGTGATTTTACGGTCTGTCGATAGAGATTGTTGAGCGGACAACCCAGTAATACGAATTCCCCTTTGACTGGCAACGGTACGGTCATGGAGAAGCTCAACCGGAGTGCGTGATCAACCACCCTAAATACTTTTGCATGTGCTTGGCTTATTTTCGTTTAACTCGTCAGTTCTTGAACAAGAAGCGGCCGTGTGCAAATACGAGATATATCACAATGGGGGGAGACAAGAAAGCCTTTTTTTCTTTTTATTGTTAATACAAGAATGGAGCCCGGCGTATAGAACCGACATAGTGAGTCTCACTTGCACTGAGCAAAGCTGTTTTATAGGAAGTCTGGACTTTCATTAATTATGATCACTGCTACTGAAGGCCGTATTCCTACCTGAGAGCTTAACCTCTGGGCTGACAACTACTGACAACCGTTTTGGGCTGTGCTACACGGCCATCTGTTCACAAGCACCAGCTTCCCGACTGCTTGATGCGACAGCATTTCGATCCTTTCCGCAAAAGAATACAAACTCCTGCTGGGGTCTCCCGCATTCTTCAGCGAAACACGCACTGGCCTTAATTGTGGTGGTTATGGCATATCCACATCTTTGCCGCCATATTGCTGTATCAGAAGTCGGGTACACACAATTAGGAGCAGGTTTCTGAAAGAAAGCACTGAGATCGTCGACACTCCCCCGGATAAGATTGAGGGCTAAAACGAGCCTGTAGGTCTTTTAGTGCGCCCGTAACGCATTTTCATTCTCGCGCCAGACCCAACAGCGACGGCTGCCGAAAGAGACTAGTTCCATCCCCCTGGGATTGCCTCCAAGCAATCACACTCTTGGTGTGTGGTATTTGCCATGGGAGACGTGACCACGACACGTACGTACGCGCTGTATTCATCACGTGACAACGACAACGACTACGACGGCGACGCGTTAGTGGCAGGAGAAAGCACAGGACTGTGCGCGTGTGTACGCCTGTCCGCCTCTGTTCGAATCGAGCGAAAAGCCTTTTTCCAGGGTCACTGTGACTTGACCAATCAGAACTGCGCGAATTTGATTGGCGCTGGACGCTGTCGGACAGGCAAACAATCACGTCCGCAGAGTTGTGCGGGCTTCGTCGCTGGACTACGGTGGCGGGAGTGGTGGGCATGAGGGTCGTGGGGCCTGACGGTGCCTCGGCCAGCCTCACCGGGGCGGATGTTACGACCCGTTTGTTGATGTTTCACTTGCCAGGCGGGCAGCGCTGCAGGGGCTAGATTTACAAAACAACAGCCTGCCTGGCATGCGTGAATTGTAAGACGGTCGTGACCCGCTTATCGTTAGGCCGCATGCACTTGAACGCCTCTGAAAAGCCCACACGCTCCGAAAGGGCTTTCGCTCCGAGCGTTCGAGGTAAGTTGAGAGCGCATGAACCAACGGCGCAGCACATTGTTCAGCCTTCAGTGGCCCATGCTGACTGCTGGCATGCTTGTTCACGCGCGCTGAAATGGCCATTTTAATTCTGCTACCAGTAACAATGAGCGGGCGCATTGCGTGATATGGGGAGTTCCCTGTCAGATGAGGGTCTCGAGGGGTTGGTGCCAAAACGACAGCTTGTCCGTCCCCATTAAATTTAACCTGCGAAAAGTCAGATTTCGTGATAGAGGCTTTTAGGGGTGCCGTAAAACCACTGTCATGTGCAGCTATACTACTAGTAGTACTTTTATGGCAAGGTCCCATTTCGTTGTCGTACCTGTTAGGGGTTAGGGGGGAAGAGGTTAGGGGGTTAAGATTAGGGGGTGGGATTAGGGGTTAGGCTGGGACTTGTCTACTGCAGGTACGGCTACGAAATAAGATCGGACCCTTTTTATTTGTAGACGGGACACTGCGCGGTTGTTCCGCACAAGCAGATTAACCTCAACTCACATGTTTATTACAGTTTCAAGGCTGACCCAAAGAAACCCTGTCCCGGGCACTTAACCGTAGGTCCTTTCCATTGGTATGGCGTCCACCGCCTGGCATCAGAGACGCTTGCTAACGGTTGGCTGCCGTCTACCGCATTTAGCGCCTTGACTGCTCTGACGAGTACACAAGTCAAACCGGATGGAGACTAAAGGTCAGGTTGAGTAGTCACCAGCTGATCACTCGGCAAGGGACCCGTGTTCTCACATAATTCTTCACAGAATAAAGCACAGTCACGCCCTTGACTCTGCTGTCACGTGAGACACCGGAGTGAACGGAAGCAGAGCTGCGCGAGGGGTGCTCGAGGCGTGGAAGCAGGGTCATCAGCAGATCGGCAGCAGCGGCATTGATCTCCAACCCCCCTACCACGACACACGCAGACAGCCCCAAGCATTCAGCCCAGACCCTCGATTTGCGAACGCCTTTAGGGTCGACACAGCCGGGCTAAGAGACGCAAGGCTGCATGCTCCGTCGCTCGCCTCATATCTCTGGCGACTGACTCGAATGCTAGTCTGAAACATCAGAACATGAAACTCTAATCCTCGAGATTTGACCTCGCATCCTCACCTTCAGTAGACAGCGTTCTGGAGATGCAAATTTCTCCATCGAATTGTCACAAAGACTAGCATTGGAAAATCCCAAATACTAACATGGTGTGGAAAACGATTTGTTGAAGGTTGGAACTCACAGTCCAAGCTTAACAGGCCCAGGGTCTGTTGTCACTGACTGGCACACAAGATCTGCGAAATGAAGGCTCACTTTAATGAGGCCATGTGAAATCTGTTCTTATGACGGCATGATTTAATCGCCCACCCTACCCATGACAGTTTTTTGTCATTTCGGCCTGGATACTTGGAGAACGGAGGAGTCTTAGACTGCTCCCCAGCAGCAAAGTCATTGTTAGTGCTGACCAAACGCGCTGTCACTTAAAAACAACACTTCCTTCTACCCTCGCCGTAAGGTTTTTGAGCTATCCAAAACACTCGTGCTTGTGGAGGCAGGCAATTTGGTGCCCTTAAATTTCCGTTTATCTTTACAGGAAGTTAGGAAGAAACAAGAAGGAATTAATCCTGTAGTTGTAAATACCGCCAGTAAATCAGCGCGAAACTTGGAAGGGAAGTCGAGAGTGGCAGGGGCCGCAGGAAAATTCTCACCACCCCACGCGCTTCTAGGACACCCCTTGCCCTTTCAACCTACAAGAACTAAATTCCACTCAGGCCAGACGTCACATGCAACAGACTTTTTTCATTTTCATTTCACGGTTCATTGGTTTGGCGTTGAAGCGCTAAGCTGTGCAAACTAGGTCTCCCCTTATTGGTTCAAAAGCCTGAATTCATTCGTCTCGACTGGTGCACCTACCGGAATTTGATTGGCTACTG